TGAGCCCTGAGGGACTATTAGAGCAGAACCAACTGATCCTCTGTTCAGTGAGCAAGCAAAGAACATCTATTATGCTGAGCCGTCATTTGAGTCTCTACATTGGTGTCCCAGCCCACCTTAACTTACACAAATGCTTAGGTTGTTAATCTTCAGCTTTTTTCCTTTTTGAATATTTGGACTTAAAATTCTAAATTTTCTTTAAGGACTGCTTAAGCTGCATTTATTAATTTTGACATTCAATTTTTTTATTATCATTCAGTTCCAAATATTTTGTCCATTTGATTAAGCGGGCCTGTGGTTACTTAGAAGCATGTGTCTAAACATATGAAATGTATGAATTATCTTCTTGATTTCCAGTTTAATTGCATTGTGGTCAGAGAATATCCTCTGTATGATTTCAATACTTACAGACTTGGTGAGACTGCTTGGATTAATTTTTATATTCTGTGTATGCTTGAAAAGTGTGCCTGCTCTGCAGACGACTGAATGCAGTGTTTCATATGCATTTCCATTGGGTCAAGGTAACTTACTATACAAGGCTGGGCAAAAGTAGGTTTACAGCTGTGAGTACCTGAAACAGTTTATTCTTGTAGTGTTATTTATTTAACCTGCATGACTTTTTCCATATGAGCCATAAATCTACTTTTGCCCACCCCTGTACTGTTGACATCTATATGCCATGTTCGCTTGTTCTATCAATTTCTGAGAGAAATTTAAAATTTCTTACTATTGTGGTTTGTCTGTTTCTTCTTGTAGTTCTTTCAATTTTGACTATATACAATGAGGAAATTTTATTAGACCTATGAAAAATTTGTATCACCGTATCTGGTGAAACAAACCTTTTATCAACATGCCATGACCAACCCTTTTGAATTCTAGTAGTGCTATCTTGCCCTAAAGTCTGCTTTCTCTGGTAGTAATATAGTTATATCCATTTGACTTTGGGTAGTACTCTCACATGTCTTATGGTTTAGTTATGTGTCTCACAAGTAGTTTTTTGTGTTTTTTAAATCCAGTCTGACAATTGGAGCATTGGGTCCATTTCCACTATAATGTAATTGCTAATATATTTGGATTTTAAGCTATGTTATTTCATGCTGTTTTTCCCATTTGGCCTTCTTTTCAATGGATTTTTTAAGAGAATAATTTCATGTTTTCTTTCTTGTATGTTAGTGGTGCTTTTTCTGTACTTTCATTGATTATGTTTTACAATGTAGAGTTAACAAATTTAAAATGAATCAAAATCTCTGTCCTCCTGCTCCTGGATAATATTAGATTCATAGAACAGCTGAACTCCATTTATTGCCCTCTCTACTGTTATAGCTGTATGTACTGCAGTTTTCAATCTTTTGTTTTTAATGATCTTATTATTTTTATGGGTTAAATCCCCTTTCGCATTTGCTCACCTCTTACTGCTTTTCTGTTTACCATTTTTTTTCTTGCCTTTCATCTGATATCACAGTCCTTCTGTCTGAAAGTACCTCTTTTAGGATTTCTTTCGCTGAGCTGGTAATAGCTCCCAGTTTTAACTTTTCTGAAATTATCATTCCTGGTTTTTTTTTTTTTTGAGGGGAGTGCAGGGGTGTAAAATTCTAGTTGGCAGTACACTGGGAAAATGTGTACTGTTACGAACATTCAGTTAGTTGTCAGTCTAGCTGTCCTTGCCTTGAAGGTTAAGAGGAAAAACTCTGGATGCTTTTATCCTTTAGTAATCTAGTTTCATGATACTGTGTCTAGACATGGGTTCATTTTCTGAATCTGTGGAGTCGTGTCCATTCATTTCAGACAATTCTCAGCCTTCAGGGCTCCCGATGGTTTCTGTGATCCATTGTGTCTCTGCTTCTCTGGGACACCGGGCACACATCGCCCTTTTCGTGTTTCCGCCCCGTATCCCTCGCCCGCTCCTCCATGCTTTCTCTTTCCTCTTTGCTGCATTCCGCGTTTCTTCTGCTCCATCTTTCAGTTAAATAATTCCTTTGTTTTACCCACTGTACTTTAAATTCTATTTTTTATTTTTAGAAGTTGTATTTGGTTTCGAAATCTACCACTTTTAGTGTCCCGTTCTTCAAGATACTTCAAGCATGTCATATGTGTATTTTAAAAATGTACTACTTCCATTTTTACAATCTATTAGTTCAGATCTGCTTGCCTTGGGGGAGTGCAGTTTTTCCTTTTGAGGGTTGTCACCAGTGGGGTGATTTCCCTGTGCTGTGTGCTGCTCAGCTCTTGAAACAATTACTGATGTGGTGTCATGATGGAGGTTAAGTATTGCTTTTTTCCAGAAATGAATGGGATCTGCTTCTACCACGCACTTGCGATTCTGTACGTGTAGAACCCCTTTATTCGTGACCTGAGCAGCCCGTTCCCCTACTCTAACAGGATGCCCAGAGTAGCCACACCACTCTACACTCTGAGCAGCACTGCCGAGTCCCAGCCGTCTGTACATCCTTGGCATGTGTCATCACTGTCCTGGGTGTTCTGCAGTGTTCTTGCTTTAGGCTCTAGTTTGCATTACCGATCATGCATCTCTTCATACACTTGTTTTTGTAGGGACTTCATATCTTCACTTTTGTGTATGTTTTATATGGCATTTTCTCCCATTCTGTGGCTGCATTTTTACTTCCAGTGATCTAACCCTTGTCTACTCCAAGGTTGCAAAGGTATCTTTTTCCAGGCTTGCAGTTTTTTTACCCTTAACCTATCACCTATCTTTGTGTGTATGGTGAGACAATAGTTCATTTTCATTCATATTGATGTCCCGTTGCTCTAGCAACTGGAGGTGAGGAAAACAACAAAACCCAAACCAAAATCAGCATGATTTAGGAAGGTACACATCACATAACCCAGGCCATTAAAACGCCTCACCAAGTTCATACAATGGGGAGCAATCTTCTGAACAGTCTTGAAAGCAGGGGTTTGGAAAATGGACTCTGACACCGAAAGACTCGAGGAGGTTGTGACACGCTTTGGAAGAGCAGGGGCCTAGAACCCAGGAAACAGGCCTGGCCCGTTTCACTGGGCTGCATGTAATGGGCCCCTTTGAATTACAGTAGACTTAGAACCCTGGGTCTACTAACTCGTTTTGCAATCTCCAGACAGTTCTGAGTCAATTCCCAGGAGAATAGAAGAAAATGGGTTATTACTCCTGATAAGCTGCTACACTTTGAGCTTTGCTTCAACAAGGAAAGCTTTTCTCCTGTCAGTCTGTCCAATTTCTATCAGTTTCAAAGCCTGGTTAAAATACTATGCTCTCCAGGCAACCTTTCTCAAGTCTTTCTCTAAAAATCACCGTAACACTTCCAGGAAACACAGGGCACCCCTGAGGCTGAGAGGTGGTGGTGTTGAGAGCAAGCAGTTCACATAAGACAAACTGAACCCAATGTTAACTCTGACTTTCTATGATGTCATTAAGATGCTTCAGGGGGAGGGGTGTCCAACTTACGGCTCAGGATGGCTATGAATGGGGCCCAACACAAAATTGTAAATTTACTTAAAACGTTTTCTTTGCTCAACAGTTTTTGTTAGTATTTGTGTTCAACGTGTGGCCCAAGACCACTCTTCTCCTTCCAGTGTGGCCCAGAGATGCCAAAAGGTTGGATAGCTCCATAAGTTTAGAGGAAAAACAACCAGTGTCTTCCCGGTAGCACCAGGGTATATGTAAACTAAGCTCTACAGAGATCAGCTGCAAAGACAGTTCATACTGTTCCAATTTCCATCTATGGCTCCGTTTCTCATTACTCCCATTGTTTCATTCTGAGCCAGCTCCTAGGTCTTTCCTTTAAAGTTTAAAAAAAATCCTCTGTGTCATACCAAGGGTTGGTAGAAAACCTAGTATATAAGACTAATATTGAGAACACCCATGTGATAAAAGCCCAGTTGTGACCAATATCCCTCTTAAGTATCATTTGCCATTCATAATCGACAGGCCATTAGGAAATCACTGTGTAAGCACAGAAGTATGTAAGTTTAAATTATTGGACTGATTCTGTATAAATTAAGGCAGCTAGCTAGTCTGTGCAATGCAAAATATAAAGGAAATCACTTAACTATAATTTGCTTGCTTGCCTGTGTTTTATCAGTGGTATAGATGTAATACTTGAGCCTTAAGAAATCATAAACTCACAAATTCCTTTTTTTATCACAGATCCTGATATTCAGTAGTGAACACAAACATATACACAATGTAAACTTGGGACATTTAAGTTGTACCAGCCTCAACCATGATTTGGCCAGTGCCCATGGACATGGACAAGGTGGTGATTGCCCGTGGGGAGAGGGTGGGGCGGGGGGGGGTAATAATGGGGTTAAAAGGTAATATAAAAAAATACAGTTAAAAAGTAAGTACCCACCATTCCAGTCTTCAGCGGAAAGAGATGCCAAAAGGCCGGACAATTTCAGCTTTATGTGTACTTTCAGAAATGGAGCACCACAAATCTGTCCTTTCCTCACTGACCAAACTGGCTTATGTTAGATGATAATTACAACTTGGAAAACCTTAAAATACCAAAGTACAAACTGGGCACATACTACGTAACACTTGTATCTGTATTACATCAACCTAGCACACGTAGATTCATTTGGTTATTCTAACAAGTTTCCAGCTTCTGACTTTTAATTTTAAAATACTTAGTTTTTGTAAAGGCCAAAACTAAGACAAACAAAAAAGCTACTAATATAAAAAAACCTACCACCATAGGGAAGTACTGATCAACCTAAATGGGCTCCAATGTCTCATATGTTCTTTCAAATTCTGTTTTGATATGTAAAAAGTACAGGACTTAAAGGTCAATAAACCTATAGAATATATGGAAGTACAGAAATTTCCTACTGAACTAAGAGAGTTAAATTATTTAACCTTAAGTTTTCACTAGGTCTAGCAGATAGGAGCCTAACATACTTAACTTGAAAATGGAAATGCATGCTCATCCTACACATAATCCTAAAATAGTGTGACTGGATCCTCACCAGATACATATACATTAAAAAACAACACATTTTCGTAAGCATAGTTTAATTTTTAAAATTTTAACAATTCAAATAAAATCCAGCTAGTTAACATAGAGTAAATGCACAGTAATTTACAGCCATGTATAGAATATAAGAATAACAACCCTCATACAAATGGTCAAAAGATATCAACTCTTGAAGTTGATTATTTAGCTATGCCTGAAAGGTCAAGATTTCATTGTTCACATATGCAGGGTACACATTCAAAAATGTTTATTAAGACAAAGACTGAGTGAAACAGAATTTTCAGCTTCTAAAAGGAGTAGCATGAAGAGCAGCATGTAGCTTACTGAGAAATTAAGGGCATGACAGAGAAAAGATCTGAGTGGGCAGGAAGTTAGTACATAAAACTTTTTCTACAATTAAAATTCCTTCCAATTTAAATCATTCAGAACTATCTATTTTCTTAGGAATGTTAAAATCATGATCCATATCAGAGGAAGAGAAAGCTGAACTATCGTATTTATCCGCCCGCAGAGAGCCCCATAGCACTAACCGCCTGGGCAGATGCGTGTAAACAACAGAAGATGGGCACAAGGGGAGAGAGTAAAGGACAGACTGACTTCTAGCGTTTAAATCCTTCAAGTTCAAATCAGTATTCTTAGTGATTTGACACAAACCTAAAAATACTGACATGTTTATGCTCCAGGAAGAGTAAATACTCATTTTTAACCCAAACTCTGCTGGTCCTAACATACTGATGCTAACCTACAATGGGCACTGGATTTGTAGAACACAAAAGTTTGGCTTAAATGATCTAATGGTGTTCTTTTTGGTTTCAAAGTTACAAATCAATTACCTGTGGGCCCCATCCAGTAAGGCTGGTTCCATAGTTACATACAGAATAAAAATTAAGACAAGGCTTGGGTGTTTGTTTTTTCCTGGAGTGATCGAGCAAAAACGAAAAAAGGGACTCATGGTCATGGTCAACAAGGTGGTGACCACCTGTGGGGAGAGAGCGGGGCGGGGGCGGTAATAATGGGGTTAAATGATAATGGAAAAAATACAGTTAAAAATCAAGTAAATAAAAGCACTGTATGGCAGCCCACAATCACAGGGCTAGTAATTCTCAGATTTGGACTTTAAAATTTAGGAAACTGTTTTGTGAGCCACAGGTACCAGTTCTTTCTGTTCTTCTATGAGAATGTGCTCTTTCAGCATCTACTGCTGTAACCTGATTAGGTTCAGTCTAATTTTCTGAGAAGGCTCTACAATAAAAATACACACCCATCTGAAGGTTGCTGACTACTTCTATGTTAGAAATAAAATGTTACAAAAGTCCAATGCTTTAAGTATATGTTTTTCTTTTTAAACATCTGCATCAGCTAAAAAACAAGATCTCCAAAGAAATGTTCAGGGACAAATTTTAGAAATAATTTTTAGTTTTCTTTTTAAAATCATCTCTGTCCTACATAAACTACAGCAGATGGTGCTTCGGGGGAAAAAAGACAATTATAATAAATGACACTGCTCCATTCTAGTTGCTGCACAAAGAATCAAAATTTAAAACTCTAGGATTGTTTCCTTCCAGGACATACATAAAACTGACTCTTAAAAGATGAATATACTGCAGTAAAGGTCAAGGTAAGTTGTACAAACAGGAATAGAATACATGTTCATCCTTGAAGGACATGTGTCACGGATTTGCTACAACTACACAAGATGTTCTTTAGCTGCTGGTTTCCACATCGTTCTTCATCACTTGTGGGGTACTGAGATCAGAGAGATAAGGGGGAGTCTCTGTCTTACATTCAAAACAAATATTTATGAATCTTCACAAGGCAAATGGCACTGTGTTAGGCAGTATGAGTGGCACTGTACCAAAAAGGTAAACACTACAGATGGAGACTTTTTCTACCGATTTAAGTTAGAAACCCCTGTTTTGTTGGATTTTTGGGGGCATGTTCCTCATAATAAATGTCAGAGCTGAAATTTACCATAAAAGTTATGAATAACCCCAAAGATAATAAAACTGAACTTGCCTTTGGTCTCCAAGTAGATCGGAACATTTTACATTCCAATCAAAGCACCTCAAAAACATCCAGTTACTGTCGATTACAAGGAAGCTGAGAGGCGGAAGAGTTTAGGAGGGCACCGTGTTCCCCTGGTGACAGGAGAGAAAGCTTGCAGTGACATGCTGCAATTTTCTGTCAGGTCACTGTAGCATTTACATTAAAGATCTCTAAAACAACTTTCCTAAAACCCAGGAAAATGTTGTGAACACTGTTTCTGCCTAATACATGATCAACGTTTAAAAAAATAACATGGAATTCTCTCCTACTCTGACTACCCGCCTGCCCCAAAAGGCCACAAAGTGCATTCACAAAGAGTCATTCTTAAGATAAAGCCATTGCACAAGACGTACAGTTCCTTTGTACTGGAATGAGTACCACGTGGAGTTTAATTGTAGACATGTTCTTACACCAGGATAGCAACAACCATAAGCTAAAGTCTCCTAATAGAATTACAGCCACTATCTCCATCAGGGCTGTACACGTAATACATTTAAAGTACTAAAATGTGCAGCTGAACTTAACAACAAAATGTAAAAGCTGCATCCTGCCAGCACACTTACTCTGAATTAACTTCATCTGTGATTTACCTTTCAAGAAATTAGGATAAACTTTGCAAAAGCAGTATGTTCATTTACAAAACTGTTCATCAATTAGGATCACTGCCCGTCCACTCAGACAGCAGGGCCCTCTTCCATACGCTGTCACTGCCCCAGGTGTCTGACGCCTTCAACAACAACAAAAAAACCGAACTTGTAAGGGCAAAGCTGAAAAAATCACCATTTTCTCTATACAATAAATGCGATCTATACAGACTACCTGATAATATTTCAAAGGTTCAAATTCTTAATGTGAAAGCAAACTGAGACTCAGAAGTGGCAAATTTCTTTCACTTTAAGAAAACGATGCTTAGGTATTATGACACGTGGGTTCAAAGCCCATAACCCACAGAATAGACACGTGCAGTTTTTCATTTATCGTTGAGTTAGAAAAGACATGAGGATATGCTCAAGTTACCGAAATGGTCTCCAATCAACAGTTTACTAGCTGAAAATCAGTATTTTACTGGTTAATTGTCCCAAACTATTACCATTTGAGTTTGATGTACTAAGTGCCCACATTATGCTAAAAATCAAACAACTGTTGGTTAGCAGTGGAAACCTCACATTTTAAAGATAAAAATACACAAGGTATTTAGATGCTATTTCATTAGTTGTCAAAAACAGTGACTACTAATGCCAAATAATTAACTTTAAAGTATTGGGCCAGATCCTCTAAAGGAACTGTGAAGATACTACTCAGGAGGTCACTATTTTTGTTACTTTGTAAGAATTATACAGAATTCAAAAGTGAGAAATTTGATACTATCTGTGGGCAATTTATAAATAGTATATAACTAAGGATGGCTTTGTTTACGAGAGTGGGAAGGTATTCATGGAAAAAACACTATACTCTGCCACAAATAAACAAAATGCAGCTGTGTCCTGTGGACCTGGTAGAGAAAATGGCAATTTTCGAGGAAGAAGTGCTTCCACAGGCCTTCTCTTGGAGGCAGCCCAGGCTTCGTTCACATTACTGAAGAGACCAAGTAATGTGGTTGTGATCACTTTAATTCTGACAGCCAGACTCCCACGCAGGCACAGTCGCACATCCCCAGACCCGTTTCCTGCTGCCCGCCATGCTGGTTCTGCTACTCCATGGTCCACTGTCATCGTCTGGTCATCCCTCTTCAGTGCAGCAGCCTGGCGTCGCTATCCATTGAGTAGGTAGACCACCAGTTCGTAGGTGGCCATCATAATGGCTGTGTTGGGGATCTGTCTCACCAGATGAGTCGTTAGACCACGGTAAAGAGACCCGTAGCCTTCTTCATGAACAACCAAAGACAGTGTCTGAAAGAAAGATCTGTATTTCGTTCCCTCTTCACGTAGTCTTGTCCTGACGACTTCTGTTTAAGGGGGAAAAAAGAGTTATTTTATTTAAACAGTAGTGTTATCTTTAGATCCACTTAATACTAAGCACACCTCATTTATCTGTAAGTGTAACCTTAGGGTAAGTAATTTTTAATGTGTAACTTACTGAAACCAGTCACATTATACCACCACCAAACTTTAAGAGGCTGGCTAAAATCCTGTGTTGTTACGAAATTTCATAGGTTCCTGAACAGTAAACAACAGAATGAAATAAAAGAATCATCTGTATACTACAATAAATAGAGACAAGAGAATAGATGTAATAAAAACCAGGAAAGGGAGTGGAGATGCTATCAAGGCTGAAACAGGCGAAGGATTTCCTGAAAGTGGAGAGCACAGTAAGAAAACAGAATTACCAATCTGTTCACGTGGTTTGCATATTGCAACATAAATTTCTGTGAATAAGGGTAAAAATGTTTAAAACATAAGTTGCCAGCTAGAAGGCCCTATCTGGGAGCAACTAAGAAAAAACTATAAAATTTTAGAGCTTAAAAGGATCTTAAAGAGTCCAATTTTTCTCCATTTTTAAAACAGGAAGAAATTAAAGCTATTGAGAGGTTTTCAACAGTTGAGGGCAGAAACCAGACAGATTCAGAGGGGTCCACAGAAAAGTCTGTTCTTTCCTCGTGGGTTACTCGTCAAACATTTTCTACACACTACTCTTGATGGAATTGAGGACCATAAAGCCATTCCCACTGTCAATGTGAACATTTGAAACCTCATGTCCTACTTTAAAAATTCATGCCATTTATACATTCCACTCCAATATACTGTTTATAAACTACTACAGCTCCTCTTGTAATGACGTCACCTCATGTGAAAGGCCAGGACACTTCAAACTCCCAAACTCTCTCACTGGGGCGCGCCTGGGGGCCAGTCCTCCTCCCTCAGGAGGCCTGAGCCCAACGCTGCTGCCAGTCCTGCCCTCTTGGGGCTCAAAGAAGTTAGGACTTCCCTGAGGAAACTGGGGTACATTCATAGTCCAACTCGGTTAAACAGCTGGTTTCACCCACAGGTTACATTTTAAAGCAGACACTCATTTCCTACACCTGTCCATTGTTCCTGATACAGCTTTAACCACAGAGCCTTAGCTTTATGGGGTGAATGTCAATGTTAACCCCTGTGACAAAAGTGAAGCACTCAGGTTAAAAACCCAAACCAAAACAAACCTCAAACACACCAAATTCAAAGGCTACACTTAAAACTCAGCATGTTCCAGACCAATTTTGAAGTCATTTCCTTAGCTACTTATGAAAGAAGCTAACATTGTAAAACTTTAAAGAGAAATAAGGAAATCATTCACATCTTTATTTGCCAACATGAAATAACGTACAAGAGCTTGGTCTTTTGGGATAGACTTCCATTCAAATTTGGGGTCCATCGCTGAGTATCCTGTATGACCTTGAGCAAGTCACTTAAACACTTCTCGTTTCCCTCTTGAAAATGAAGACAGTTCTGGTTGTGTTCTAGCATACCTAGGCTTTGCAGGGTTTTTATGCAGATTAGTAGTAATGTATATAATGTATCCATACACCTATAAAATATATGTAACACTTATGTTCATACTGAAAAAAAAAAATCCCCAGAAACTTGCCCAATCTGACCAAGTCTGGGTTAAAATTTGTCCCGAGCTCATGATTTGTCTGAATCACCACCATGCTACTATAACATACGGATCTATTAAAATTGCTTGACTTTACTTGTACAGATTTAATTCCATTATGATTAAGTCCTAAGAACTTAATTTTGTTATACTGAAATTCAGTAAAATTATAAATAGGAAGTGGGCTATTGGCTGGGGTGGAGCAGCATTTCCGAATGAACAGAATATGCCCCGTAAAACTCAGGTAATATTCTCTTACCGTGTGGATAGGCTATACTTGTGGCACAAGTTTTTGAGGTGGCAGCAGCCAGCATCATTCCCATGAAATCGGATGCATCTTTTACAGTCTCTTCATCACTTTCCATTGTAGAAGCAATCTTATATTCCAGTAGTTTTTGCTTAATACTTTCATAAATAACAAAATGGATTACAGTCTCTGATATGCCAGCATATGAAGCAGACATGCCCCTATAAAATCCTCTAAGTCCATCTACTTGATACACTTTACGAACACATTCAAAAGCGCCCATTCGCTTTTCCCCACGGTTCCTAGAAAGTAAAATGAAAAAATCTTTTTAATGTAAATAAAGTAGCACAGGTTTTAAGATAAATAAAATATCGATAAATAAAATATCGTAGAACTATACCACTCTAATATAAAGAATGATTCCCTTTAATTCAAGAAACAGCGAAATCAGATTTTTAAAAGATTCATTTTAGATTTCCTATTCTTTTGCTCCAAATTTGCCATATCAGATGGGTAACAAACATGTAAGTAGTTTGTTTTACAGAACGCAAAGCACACTACACTGACTCTTCAGTTTGATGGCCTCACTGAAGGTGGTATATTACAGGGATAAGAACGAAATCCTTTATTTATTTATCTTTAGAGGGGAAGGGAAGGAGAGAGGGAGAGAAATATCAATGTACGGTTGCCTCTCGTACATCCCCTGCTGGGAACTGGCCTGCAACCCAGGCATGTGCCCTGACTGGGAATCGAACCGCAATCCTCTGGTTCGCAGGCCTGCATTCAATCCACTGAGCTACACCAGCCAGGGCAAAAAAAAAAATACATTATATTAAATCCAGTTCTAAGTTGAGGTTTCTTTCACATTTAATAACATTAACAAGAATGACTTAGACACTAATGGTGATAGATCCATCACAAAAGCAGGGAACATGATCAATCTAATTTCTGGGTCCATCGAAGACGAATTTCCAATGAACCTTTGAACCTTTATCTTTCATTGCAGTATCCTAATGAGTAGTGAATGAGGACCTCTACAGTCACCAAGAATTTACTGAATACTGGGCCCAAGCAAATGTTCTTAGTGCTGCTACTTAAGGGTACAGCTTCTATTCTTCTAAGTACATAATTCTGAGTTTGTAAAACTACTTACACTATGATTCCCCCCAGTGGAACCCCACATATAAGAAATGGGTTTAAATGCTACCCACAGGGAAAGAATTTACCTATTTATACATTATACAAAACCTGTTTCTGACATAAAATAAAGCCACAATTAAGACGACCTACCTGATAACCTACAGATTCCTCCAATTTTATGAACTAAGGACTGTCTTCAACTAATGACACCGAATTAATACTTTCTTAGATGAATAATCCATGTAGGCAACTGAAATGAGTTTCTGCCATATGACCTTTCCTTACAAAGTTAAAAGAGCCACTAGTCCCAAAGGGTAATGCACAAACAGATTAGCCCTCTTGTTGATTTCAGCTTTATAAATTAGCATGTTTAAATCAATGTTTCACGATTACCCCAACCCATCTCATTCCATAATCCCAAGCCTGAGAAGGTATGTTGACTTGTGTTACAATTATAAGTAAAATAATAATAATATTAAAGAATTTTAAGCCACGCTTTTCCTGGATCCCCTACAAATCCACCTGTAACATAGTGAAGAACACCACTGGTAGTTTATAATGGCTTAATATAGACTGGCATCTCACAGTTTCTTAACCTTTGCTTTGTTTTACTCTCCATTATTACTTTTCATATCTTTGGCCTTAAGAAACAAACTGAATTTTGCTAAAATTATTCCAGATGAAAGAAGAATTAGACAATTCAAGTCTCCAAACAATACACAGCTCACCATGATGGAATGTGGATAATGGATATTTAAGCAGGCATAATTATTAATAATTTCATAGATTGGTTTTATTTATAGTCTACAAGATATAACAGTACTTCTCAAACCCTAAAATATAAAAATAGTGGACATTTGTTATGCATAGTCCACTCCAGACTGAAAGGCTAAATCAGTTTCAAAACTTTAACATTATTATTATTATTATACACCAGATAGGATCGTCTCTCTACTTAATTGCGTTCACTTTTCCCGATCCTTCATCCTAAAGGTCGACAGGACTTGAGAGGGCAAGTCTAAGGGGCACTGCTTCTGGCCTTTTCTCAGATCCCAGATCATGCCCTAAACTTAGAACCTGCATGGTTTGCACAAACTGTTGCCTCTGCTTAAAATGGGCTCAAAAAACCATTTCTTGACTATTCCATTTAAAGTTGGTCACCACTGTTTCCTAGCTTATCCCTAGAACCTAGCAGTGCCTGCTCAATATAGATTTATCAAATGAATGAATCTTGCTAGCACAAAGTTGTCAGTGGTAACAGATGAAGTCTGCGAATAAAGGAAAGCAAAATCCTATCCCAGACTTTCTGTATATGAGGTTACTGAATTTGAGCAATGATCCTCCAAGATTTAGTTGTAGACTACTTGATCATGTGGGTTATTTATAGCTGTTGAGAGGCTGGTTATAATCACCATGTAGTAGAGGTATCATTTACTGGACTAGGTTAATATACCCTCTCTTCTCCTTTTACTTAAAAACACAACACATAATATACTCTCTTCCCTGAAAAGTCTCATCCTGCCAACTTCTGTACCACTTTTGCTTCTGATGGTGGACCCAAGGTTCTTAAAAAAAAAAAAAAAGGCAAAATAAAATAAGTCAGCAGCAAAAAAGGAGACACTGAAATCTCACTAACAACAGTTTACAGAAAAAAAACTAGTTGAAACCATTAATGAAATAACATACCTTGCGTCAAGCTGTAACCGAGTCTTTACAAGCCAAATGGGGTTGGTTGCTGTGATTGCAGTAAAACCTAAACAAATATGTTTAAAATGAACTCTGGTAAGAATAAATACACTATTAACTTCAAGGGTTATAAAATTATATAAATCTATGTTAAAGAACATGAGTGTAAGTATTTAACATATTAACTGATGTATGCTTTACACTTCTATTTTATAGATCCATACAAACAGGAACATTAGTATTTTATTTCCAATCTACATTTTCAAATTCTGACCATAGTAACTAAAAGATAACCTTTTAAGAGCAAAATCTGACTACGTATAAATTCCCCTCCCAGCATATTCAGGCTATGCTCTGGGACGCCCTCTACTGTCTAAACTAAATTCAGAAACCTATTACTTTAGACAAACACACAAAAATTATGTAACTCTAGGGCTTTCTAGCATGCAAACTCTACAACCACTATTTGGGGTCCAATTAACACCACAAACCACTATATTCAAAATAGATTCTATAATGTCAACATTTACTAATAGTAGGTATTAAGTTGATTGTATAACAGAAAGGACTGTTGTTTGGCCTTACAAATACTTTACATAAACATACACTTAATACTGTGAAATAATGGTATCAAAGAGGTAAGGTTTCTGTTAGGATTAACAGGACAAATCTATTTTCAATCATTTAAACACATACAAAAACTCAAAAGTTCAAAAAGTTACAATGGGCACTCCCCTCTCACTTTTATAGACAGTGAAGAGAGAAACTCGGGGTAGAGGTACCTCTAGTTTACTTTAAAAACTGAAGTAATACTTTCTATCAAATACTAGCAGGTCAAGCACATTATTTTTAGACAGGTGGACTACAGCCAGCACATTTAATATGAGTAAACTACTTTCAGAAACAAAAATGCTGTGGTGCATATTAGGGATAAATGCAAAGTAATTTTATTACATTGTATACAAAGTGAAGTTCAGTTTCACAGGTTCCCTTCCTTTCCATGACGGTTTAATCATTAGTTAACTCAAAGACTCCCTAGGCCACCACTTTGACTGTAGAAATTGCCCGATGGTCCAAATGGGGTGCTCACACTGAGTCTATCTAGCAAGATACATGAAGTAAGTTTGATTTGATAATCCCTTTAATTATCCTGTGATGGTTATGTAGTCTCTTTTTCTTGTGAGTGCCTTTAATACTACGTACATATGTATAAAACTAAAATGTGACTGATGATTTTCTAAGTATCAGTATTCAATAATAAAAATTTAAAGTGTTGGATAGGTTCTCAGGAATATTTTTAAACAAGGTTCTTTTCATGTACATACTCTGGTAACAAGAAAGAGATAAAAATATGAAACTGTCAGATCAGTTTAAATATTATGTTTGGAGAGGATTTCTCTTGCATGGCCTATTTTAATTGAGAATAAAGTTATAGAGTGTATATTATTATTTTCTTCTCTTAAACCTCTTTTTTTAAAGTAGAAGTCAAACTAAAAATATTCAAATTTTATTTTAAAGCTAATATGAACCAGAAATTGGTATTTTGGTCATATCCTTAATAATTCTTTATTTTAAAACTTAAAATTTGAATTAGGTAAATGTATGTACAGCAATATTAGGGGTTTATTAGTGAAAAGCTGCTAAGCAGACAAACCAACAAAATAGTCTTTATTACTCCCAGTAGTTTTTATTATTCTGTGAAAATTAAAAAGTTTTATTAATTTTGAAAAGCTAAGCCAGGAAATTCTTATATTAAACTAAAAAAACAAAACAGTCTGTCTAGGTAAAAATCTCATTCAATTTATTATACTTTATTTGAAAAGAAGATAAGCACCAAATAATTTTTAAAAAATAATTACATTGTACTTCTAAAAATATGAACTTAGTGCCCTAGGCCTAATACTCTTCCAAGTCACAAAATTCCTCGATTAGAGGCTGGAAAAAAAACAACCCAGATATGTAGACTATAAAATATTACAATAAGTATTTATATCATTAAAAATGAAATTAGAAAATATCCATAAAAGTAGAGGTTTCATTCTCCTCTGCACATATTAAACAATGACAGGATGCAAACAACAGGTATTTCTCACTTAACCGAAATTCATTTCACGCAAATGAATCTACGGAACGGAACACAAGTCTAGGTGAGAGAACGCTGTCCTCTAATCCCTGTATAACTGCTGCTAACCAGACACCTGTGCTCACTACAGTTGCTTTGGTTCATCTTTCCCAATAAACTGGCTCTTCATAAAGACACTATCCTAGCTGCCAGCGAACCATTAGGTTAAAGGACTTGAGAAATAATCCACAGGTGTTTAGCTGTTGGTCTTACTTTACCAAAACACTTCAAAGAACTAAGTAGACATTATTAGGGTAATTAAATCTAGAAAAATAGAATCTATTGATTCAAATAGGAAGAAACAAAAAGCATGACAAGTTTAGAATTATAATATATGGTAAGGCAATTTGAAGTGGACAAACAGCCAAAGCTAAACATTTCCTATTTTTACTAAGAAAAACATACACAAAGATAGTAGAAATGGTGCCCCTGAAATTTACAAATTTCTGATCACTTTTTATTTTGGTATTTAAATTTTGTGACTTTTGCTAATATGCTAATTAATAGCAATCTCCTGAATACCCTGTTAAACGTTAAAACTGATTCAGTGGCACATGAAGGATCTACTTGAAAGTTAAGAATTGATGTTGCTCCACTGTCAGATACAGCGAAGTGGCAATACACTGGCCAAACTGTTAGTTTGTAGTGTGGTTAGTATTCTATTAAAAATCTAATTTTTAAAGTTTTGCTTTATCTAAGACTCTATTTAATAACATAAACCAGCAATTTTCAACCTTTTCCACCTATGGCACACACAAACTAATTACTAACATTCTGTGGCATACCAAAAATATATTTTTTGTTGATCTGACAAAAGAAAATAGGAGTAATTTTGATTCACCCGCACCAGACATCTATTGTGATGTTAGCTGTTGTCATTTTTTAACTTGACAATCTAAGGGAAAAGAGGTCAGTGCTCCCGACTAAAGAGTCAGATATCACATGTTTTAAAGATTCTGGTGGCACACTGGTTGAAAATCGCTGACGTAAATCAATGAAAAACCAGATTAACAGAAATCCTGCATATACTAAATTTGCTGAAAATGTCTATTTCATTAAGTGAGTGATACCTGTAGTATTGCATTTTTAGTAATTTTTTTACTTCAATTAACTAGCAAGAACAAAGTCCACCTAACTTTCTAAGGGAAATATGTTAACACTATTAAAAATTAAAACGAAACAGCTAAAACTGTATATATTTTTATCCTGTATTTATTTGGAAAGTAACGGTAGGTTTTAAGATAGATGTTTTTGCAAGAGAGTAGGAAAAAGCCAAGTATCAACAGACAAGAAAACAAAGCACTGTATTAGATTTTTAAAATATGTTCTGCTAAGCAAACAGAACTATTTTTTCTCACAGTTGTAGGATACTATACCACCAGTTACAACCATGTATATCTTAAATACTGGTATCAGATTCTTTGGTGGTTAAAACTACGATGACCAAGCTGAGGACCCCAGGCTTTTACTACATGATGACTGAAAAGCTAGTCTATACATCCTTCTAGAAGGAATATCAGAAAGGGAGCAGAATTCAAATTCCATAAAATATTCAGAAAATGCACACACAAATTCCGGAAATAAAAGTTCATTTCCCACCTTCTATTAATTCCAAAGCTATTACAAATCCCAGGGGGGTGTTTCTTATAACTAGAGGCTGCAAGAGATGCTCAGATCAGTACTCACGAGGTTTAAGTTAGTCCATATTTCTACAGGAGTGACCTGCGGATGGGGAGCATGAGATGACACGATCTCACTCTTTTCTCGGGAGAAATGTACAGTAAATGCCTAAAATAGACACAGGCTTTTCTGTATCATAACAACAAGCAGTGACCTCATCAGAAACACGTGTACAAAATGAATCCCATTGGAAGGATTTGAGAAATATTTACGGTGAGATCTAACTTTTTTGAAAATTTTAAGTTTTTGGTTTTTTTTAAAAAGGAATATCAGAATTTGGTAATAAATTTTTTTAAAAAAATACAACGAGTACTGAAAATTCTGCCATCTGTAGCAGTTCAGAGTCCAAATACTTACCTAAAAGAAGACCAGTTTTGCCTTAAAGAAAAAAATGCTAACCTTGTCAAAGGGGAATCTAAGAATATATTTTCCTACTGTTACCATCTACCATGATCAAAGCTGAAATCCCAACAGTAAGACTATTTAGGAAATCTTTTAAAAAAATTCAAGTACTTTCATTTTGTAAATATTTATACTTTTTTTTAAATGAAATAAATTATAGTACATGTTGCTACAGTAGTACCTTTCACCTTTTGCACTATGGCCAGTAATAATGCACATCCATTTTTATGGAATATTTTGGGTTATTTTGTATTTAATTTCTTGTGTTCTACAAAACAAAAAACAGGAAGAATGTTTACATACAAACACACAAAGCATCTGTCCAACCATCAGTCTGGGTCAATGAATTGCCATGGACAAATAAAATGTTTAAAAAAATATTCTGTATATGCAAGACAAAATTCCTATGAAGTTTTCACTCAAAAACTTAACCTTTAATAATAATGAATTTTAAGTCAAACAAGAAAATATCTTGAAAAAATTAAGTGAATGCTATGAATAAAACCTACTAAACTAGTAAATATTAAATGATTATGCGTATTTTAAAAATTGAGCAATAACTGCTTGAATATATAATCCAATAAAAATCACAAGTCATTTCTTTTAAATCTGTAATGCTGTGTATAAAAGTATATGTATATTCCAGATAAAAACTTTTAAAAATTGAGAATTGCTATTAAGAAAGAAAAAGGCCTGACCAGTGTGGCTCAACTTTGTTGGATGTCATCCCACAAAGGGAAAGGTCACCGGTCCAGGTTCAATTCCTGGTCAGGGCACATGAGTGGGTTGCAGATGCAGCCCCCAATCAGGGCACATGCGAGAAACAACAGATCGATGTCTCTCTTTCACATCGATGTTTGTCTCCCTCTTCCTCCCTCCCCTCTCTCTAAAAATAAATAAACGTAAAAAAAATTTTTTTAAGAAATTAAAAAACCCTTACTTTTATTTTTTGTATACCCAGCTGTGTACAGGTATATACAGAGGGATATGCAAGTTCATTTAAATAAAGACACAAATACCCTCAATAGCTAAGTTTCTCTTACTCTGTCAAAGGTCGTATGTAGGGGAGAAAAAGGCAGGTAAAGCACAGAGTCAACATTACTTAATTTGATTAAATAGCCTCACAGTTGAATAAATTTTCAATGCATAAAAATTTAGAGCTCAACTTTAGGGCTCAAAATTCTTTTGTATTCCCTTGAAACACTCCAACAAATGAAAATAAAATCTACTTCAAAGTGTCCCTTTAACTAAAAGGATTTAGTATCTAAATACTCTAGTTTATATAGATAAAATGCAAAATGCAACTGAATTGAGAGGTTATTTGAAATAAAATCATGTAGAAAATATTTTATTAAACCCTTAATGTGGGCTGCTTGATGTGGCAAAATACAGCAGGCTATATAATTAATGGACTACTTTTATTTAGTGTGTTTTCTGATAGTAAAGTGACAAGGTTAGCAGTTTTTTTTGAATGGTTAGTTCAAAAACAATTTTTCGCATGATTTCTTCTAAGTACTTTGCACCCCAATTCATATTTTTAAGACCTCTTAATATGATCCTGAAGAAAAACCAGAGCAATCTGGCCTAGATTGTTTCAAGAATGAAGGAGGCAAAAGGCTACCTTAGTGAGTCTGCATGGGACCATTCAGTTTTACCAGCCAGGCAGTTATGTACAGAAACCGCAAAGCTAAATGTTAATGTTCATAAACAGTGCAAGAAAACTCTGAAAGCACAATTCTTAGAAAAAGTGTCACCACAAACACATTGAAGTATTTCCAAATTACACAATAAGTGTATAGTGCAATAACCTCTGAATAATACTATCAATTAGCCAAGATTCAAAGAATTCAACTTGGGAAATAGGAACAATGTTTAGGTAAAAACAAAGTTTAACACTTCTACATATTTGGGGAAAAACGTGTAAAATAACAATTTCACTGAAATTCTTTGCAATGTGATACAAATATAATAATAAATTCTGATACCATATTCTAATGAAAAAATGTTCCAGTGGTTAAGATACTCTGAAACTCTGAATTTACAACAACTCTGAATATATAACAACTATCTTCCACTTCAAATTACTGCTTGTTTACTTTTTTCATTTCAATTCTTTCAAAAATGATTAACATTCCTTTGTAATTTTCTGGAGTTAAAAACAAAAATGCTTAAATATTGGTAATCCAGAAATATGTAAATATTCTACAGTTTGATATTAGCTACTTTTACATTATGCCACTGAATGTGTAGAGGGAAAGCTGGTATTAAACATCCATTAAAATACATTAAAAAATAATTCTAGTTGTAACTAACTAGATGACCTCTATGGTACTGAAGGACTAATTCTAAAGATCCAAACCTATATAAAGCAACCTACTCAATCTAAGGATAAGGTAATGAAGGTTCACATAAATTACTTCACTTGCCCAACATCTCTCCACAGGGGTATACAGAATATTTTACCATCTTGCTCTTTAAGGTTTTCTCTGCCAACTTTAAAACTTCAATGAGTTAGTCAACAATTACTAACTATATAAAGCTTTGAAAATACTTTATAAGGTATATATGCTAGAATCAGCTAGATTTATTACATGGCAATTGACCTTTCAGAAATTAGTATTTCAAACTTACACTTAGTTCGTTAAGTATGTGGTTCAAATTGATCCAATTTATTTCTAAACAGAAAATGGTTAACAGTTTAAGGAACACATTTGTTAAGCATACAATTGACAATTGATCAACAAGTGGAGAAAGTAGATATAATTTGCTTTATAAAGTCATAGCATAATTTAGACATGTTTAAACAATATGCAACACAGCTCCAAAAATTGTGGAGAATCTTCTATTGAGAACCAAAGGTCATGGATTTGTCTAACACGGACAGCAAAAAATGATTTCTGAACCAGACCGGACAACCGGTCTACCAGTTTATCCTTAAGGCAGGGCAGAGAGGCCCAGGACTGGTTGTTTAAATTTAGGATCATATATGCTTAATAATTCAGAATTCCTGGAAACACTGTTATAGCAAACATGTACACATGGCCAGTGCCTAAGTTTCAAGTGCTGTCCAGTGTCATTTACATGAAGTGCCAAATGTATTTTTCAAAATACATACATTACAGTAACTCTGAGTTACCAGTAAGACATCACTCACAAAAATTTCAGCATTTTGAGCATGGGACAAAATGAATACTTTACCAAGAACTGCGGCACATTTCAGGCAGAAGCCAAAACATGCAGCAAAAAGGAAAAGGCACTAACAGAAATTGAGGCGAGAAGAATAAATTACAGCTCCATAACTTACTGGTAGTGTAATTATGGTTGGATTCTTAAAACTTGTTAAAAGTAATGACTAAATATTCAGTAAACTGTACAATACAATGTAAACACTGGGTGACCTGCATGCTGTCACAACTCCTTTACCCCTCAAACTGACAGATGACAAGTGCTCTTACATACAGCCCCTGATCGAATTTACTGTATAATACATGTTTGTGGATGCTAATCAATGAGAAGCACACTGTCTTAACTTCATGATTTAAATCAATCAAAATTCAATATTAAGTCTCTAGGCTTCAGAAAATGTTTTTTAACATCATATATTCATACCTGCCATTGCTGCTGAAATCATGTGTACCTGGGTAGAATCAGGATCAAATATACCATTCAACTTTTCCTTGCAGTTTGAATAAGCAGCGAAGTATATTGCTCTAAAATAAAGATTTAAATTTTGTCAATAACCATATTGCTTAATTTATAAGATTTAAATGACACGTAAATTAAGTACTATAATTTTAAAATAATCTAAAAGCACACAAAAAGTCTTAGTTGACTATGCTCATGTAACACATCAGGTTAATCTGCACCTTTCCACAAAGACCCTGATGTACTTTCTGTATTGATCCATTAAGAAAGACAAATTCAAATGTAAAGTTCCTTATACACCCTCTTCAACCCACCCCAATACTTTTAGAGCAACTAACTATAATTAAAAGTATTTGTGCAAAATTCTGAAAATACATGAAATGAATTAGGACCGAAATGCTTTTGTAACATTAAGGCTAAATTTAATACACTTGAATTAAAGAAATATGGTCTGAACACTTAGAGATTTTTGTTGCGAGGAGAGAAAGATAAAACTGACCCAACTGATCAAACTATACAAGGTCTTTCCAGGAAAAAGTCCAGCCCTTGTTATTGTGTAACAAGAACAGTTTGTGCAACATCAGTGTAACCTGGCAGCCAAGGAGAGTGGACTGGAATGTGCATGTGTGAACAGCGACAACTTCACTGAACTAGTCAGTGGGGGTGGTAGATGCCATTGAGTGAGCATGTGTACTGTGTGGCTGTCACATTCAAAATGACTGTGCAAGTAGAGCAGCAAATGTGCAACAAATTTTGCATCAAGCTTGAAAATTCCTCTGTGGAAACTTCGGATGATTCAGAAGGCTGCAGCTATGGGCAACTTGGTGATTGGCAGCTTCATCATGACAATGCGCATGCTCATACATCATGTCTCATGCAGTTTTTTTGGTGAAACATCAAATCACCCAGGTATCTCAGCCCCTAAAGTCACCTGGTGCTCTGTGATGTCTGGCTTTCCCTAAAACTAAAGTCACCTTTGAAAGGGAAGAGATTTCACACCATCAATGAAATTCAGGAAAACATGACGGGGCAGCTGATGGTGAGTGGGAGAATTGTGTGAGGTCCCAAATATAATGTATGTTCTTCATTAAATGTCTCTATTTTTCACATTATGTGGCTGGATACCTTCTGGACAGACTTTGTGTGTACACATAGGTAATTCACAGAAGAGATATACAAGTAATTGTGAGGAGGGTGTAAATGTACCAAAAATTAAACAAATGTATATTAAAGTAGTGAAAAATCATGCTTAGTCTATTTGGCAAGTAAAGACAAATAAAATAGTAGCCAACATGGGTAATACATAGAGAAACAGCAACTAATTTACCACTTGAGAGTAAAAATATGTAATACCTTTTCAGAAGACAGATGAGCAATATTCATTTAGTTTTAATGTGATGTATCCTTTATCTAGAAATTCTACTTTTAGGTAACTATCCTAAAAAATCTGCTAATTTAAGTACTCAAAAAGTACAGTGAAGTTCACAAAATCATTGTGTTTAACATAAAAAAATCTGGAAATAAATCTAAAGGTTTATCAATAAGAAATGCTTAATAATGATGGAACAGTCATTTAAAAACTACATATTTTCATGGGAAAAGGCTACAAGACACAATGGGGAAAATATTTTAATAAGACTCAATTTATGTAAATAAGTCTCCATATTATACATGTTATGTACATGATAAGCCAGAAAAATCAAAGGAAGACTACGCCACGTCATTTATGATTGTTTTGTGTAAGGAGAAGAGTATGTGTGGGAAGGAGCACTGCACTGGGTGAGGGAAAGACGATGCGTTTCAGGCAGAATTCCAAGCTTTATGCTACACGTCTTTTTTTTTTTAGTCTTTATAAACAGGATGAAATTTCGGATAATTTTTTAAGAGAAAATCAGCCCTAAGAAGTCAAAACCCAATACCCAGTGAGAAGGGACCTGGGACACTGTTTGGATGCAGAAGGCTGGGCATGCATTTTCACTCTGTGGAAACTGCAGTGTTCTGTCATGGAAGAAGTCACTCTAAGGTAAAAACGTATTGAAGGAAAATGACTAATATATCTAGGCCTTTCTAGGTTCTTTAACAGAGATTGAAACCATTCTATATGTTCACTTTGTCCCCTAAACCTAAAAACAGGGTTAGTTCTAAAGATCCAGGTCTTCCCCTTTCTTTAGCTAATTCCTTTAAAGTTTGTTTTTTGCCTTTTAAACCTAGTGCCATAACTGCTTCATGTCACTGAGTTCTGCTGCACCCGCCCATAAGGTGCGACCTGCTCATCCTTTTTAGATGCTTACTGATACCTGTTGTTCCACCACAGCGCTTTATCCTTACCACCTGACCTCAGCATCTCCCCTCATTAAGTTTGAAACAAGAAAAGATTGAGACAATTTTACTTCATTTTTTTTTTTTTACCTGGAAGGAGCTACCCCCACTAAATTGGGGCCTAATCCTCTGAACAAGGAACGAGGCCCTTCTTTTTCCAAGATCACCCTGAAAGAGAAAAATATTATTTAAGTTTTGGGGGTGAGGAGAAACAGATTGTGGTACAGCAGGCATTTTAATTTAGAGGTAACGAACTGGGCCAGTGGCTCTCAATCTAGATGTGTAAGAATGATGTCTTCAAGGGCCATTGAGCATAATGGTTAATTAAGGATTTGAGTTGTGGGGCCAGACTTCTCAACAGGAAGCCCAATTCTGGTTAACTGACAAGCTGTGTAAACACGAAGTAATAGCTTTTCTCTTATCCTTATTTTCATCAGCAGTAAATAGTACTCCTTTTTGGCAGTTACTATGAGGAATAACTAAGTTAATATATAAAAAGCTTAAAGAGTACCTAGCTCACAGTCATAAGCACTTGCTTAAAATGAAAACTTCTCTGATCTGGCCTCAAAACACAGTGGTCATTTGGTACTCTCGTCATTAACTTGTTCTGGAACTTGTGATAAGTGCCAAAACCGACAAATACCAAATGATTTTTCCCTTAAGACATTTTCTCTTGTGGGGTGTCGTGACTCATACAAGTTCTAGTAAGCACAATGATTCCTAAGCAAGTGCTGAAATATTTTTTTCTCGTCCAAATGAAACAAGTTCCACCCTGACTGGTGTGGCTCAGTGGATAGAGTGTGGGCCTGGGTACCAAAGGGTCGCTGGTTCAATTCCCAGTCAGGGCACATGCCTGGGTTGTGGGACAGGCCCCCAGTAGGGGGCTTGAGAGAGGCAACCACACTTGGATGTTATTTTCCCTCTTCCCCCCCCCCAAACATAAATAAACAAATAAAATCTTTAAAAAAAAGCGATGACTTCCATGTCCGATAAGGTCTGAAGCCAGCAGGTACTGAGATATGACTGTATTCTGATTTAATAGGTGTAAGAGAATGCTTGGCTGCTTGCATTTTTACTGTGCACCCAGGACTAATACAGGTCCTGATACAGAACCAGTTTTGACAAACTAGATTACACAGAGCAGAGTTAAGAATAAAAAATTATAGAGCACATTTTGAAGATTCAGTGTTTTTTGCCCTTTCTGTATCACATTTCCCTTGAGAAATTAAGGAAAGTGTCCTTTTAAAAAGATATACATTATGTGCCCTGTTGGTGTGGCCAAGTGGATTGAGTGCCAGCCTGTGAACCAGAGTCACTGGTTCAATTCCATTAGGGCACATGACTGGTTTGCTGGCCAGGTCTCCAGTAGGGGTGCTCGAGAGGCAACCACGCATTGATGTTTCCCTCCCCCCATCTTTCTCCCTCCCATCCCAGCTGTCTAAACATAAATAAATAAAACCTCATATACACACACACACATATATGTACGCATTTGCAATTGACTCATATAAGAGGGCCTGAAAAAGTGAGAAATTAAAGCAGAGGCCAGAGGGTCCTGTAGTTCCTGAGGAAATTCAGAAAAAGCAGAATCACTGAAAAACAGAATAAAAAAATATAGCATGGTCACAAAGGTCAAAGGGAGAACTTTAAAGAGAGGTAATTGGCAATAATAAACGTCAAAGTCACATTAAAATACTCTATTATTAATCCAAAAGAAGTATTTATATATGACATTTTAATAAAAAATTCTTAACAACTTCATTTCACCTCTTCATGTACCTAGGTAAGTTTAAAAAAAGAAGAGACTGATAAAATCTTTTAGTGGAGAAGGCAAACACACAGTATGAGTTTATTTGCTACTACAAAGTAAACACGACTGAACCAAGTTCAAACAGATCATGTCCTAAGTGAGCTGATAAGGGAGACAGGTAAGGCGTTCAGTTACATACCTAAATTTTAAAACACAAAATCTGATTTCAGTAATTTTAAAATTTCAAATTCAATTTGTAACATAATGAAGTATGATAAAAGGTAAAAACAAATGTTTTCTAAAGCAATCAAAAAATACCAAACACTGCATCCCATTTTAAAATCAGCAGAAGTCTGCTTTAAATCTCAACTATTGTTTAGGCTATACAAAAGTCACAGACTGATACTAATTGGATACACTTACTTAACTCAAAATAAAATTACCCATAATAATTATTTTAGATAATAACCCATGGAATACAGAAATATTCCAAATATATGCAATGTAGAAAGAATACACTTTATATTCCACTAACTGTTCCTCTCCATTCGGGATGATTGGTTTTCAATGAATAAAAAACTGAGACTCATCTGTTTTTAAGCTTGTACAACACCCTTTACAACACCACTGAATAGAAAAGACTTAAACAAATTCATGAACACTGTGCTCTCACTTTAGGCAGTGGAGGGGGCCGGGAGACACTACTCGGTTGACGCTGGCTCCAGCCATGGTGTTCAGCTGAACTTCAGAGACGTACAGTGTCAGAGAAGATGACTGCAGCCGTGTTTTCACAACCTCCAGTGGACATGTCAGAATAGCTCCCACGGTACCACCACATCTACAAAAAAAGAAAAGAACGAAACTTGTCTATTAAATTTGCAAGTCAGTAAACATGCAGGCCATCGAGGCTTTGCCAAGGTACTAAAATGTAACATTTTTTATTTTCAGAGACTAAACCATTTTTCAGATGTTTTTTTTTTTGACTGTATAATACAAGTACCTTTGGTAGCTAGAAAGAACGGAGCTTAATTTCTACCTCAAAAGAATGAGTCAAGTAAGATAAAGAAATATTCAAAAATTTCCTATCTTGCAGCCTTTCTTATATGGCTACTAAAGGAGATGTCCCACGGTCAGGAAGACTGAAGGAGAGGGAATGTATCAAACCATCACGTCTCATACCTAAGACTAATGCAGTGTTGTGTGTCAATGATATTTCAATAAAACGCGGGGGGTGGGGGGGGACGGGGATGGAGGGTATGAATGCAGGAAAAGAACAACCCAGGAGAGGGAGAATGGAGTCCCAAGATGACAGGGAAATGTCAAGACTTAGAAAAATAACCAATCCGGACAGGATTTGGATGACAGAGTTTAGAGGAATAAAGAACTCCAGGGCGAGAAACAAACAAACGAAAAATAGACAAATATATCTGACCATATGAAAATAAATATTCAAGTATAAACATAAGCACTCACCTAACTAAGCAAACATTTAAAAATGTGAGGCACTTAATAACTCTAGGGGGAAATGAAGTTATTCAAAAGGCAGGTGACGGTATATTAACTTAGGTGTGCTGCCAACAATATTTACATTGTCACAATGAGGGAAGCATCACTACTGACTTAACGAAAAACTGTGATGTAAATTAGTACATACTGAGAGGAGGAAAAGAAGAGGGAAAGAGGGAGTGGTATTCTGTAGCTAAATCCTCATCTACCAGAAAAGAAAGTTGAAGAAAATTTCAAAGGAAACAGCTAAGTCTCACGGAAGGTCCCACTAGGAAGAAGATAGGGGGAAACTGGGGAATGTTGGTTTTTTATTATTTTTCAGCAGCTTTAAAAAAACAACTTTTGAAAACATTTTTTCTATATTTAATTTACCAAAATTTTAGCAGTGTTTTTTTTAAAAAAAACAGCAGGGGTTTTTATCTGGAGAACGTGGTTCACATTTCTGGAACTCATTGATTGGACCCTGTGAAAAAATGATGTGTATTGTGTGCGACTGTCTTTGACTCAAAGCTTAGAAATAAATCCTGAATCTCATCCACTTCTCACTTTCACTGTGGTTTTGGTCTAAGCCACTATCCTTTCTATTTCATGCCTGCTGGCTTCCACCCCTGCCCCAGCTCCTCTAAATTATCTTCAATACAGGAGTCAGAGCGATTGTGTTAAAAACTTAAGTCAGACCAGTCACTCCTATGCTGAAAACTTTCCAGACATCCTCACTCCTTGGAATGAAGGCCAAAATCCTCACAATGGTGTGCATGATCTTACACGATCTGCTCTTCGCTGACACGTCCGACCTCGTCTCCTACTATCATCTACCTTCTCACTACTCCACAGGCATGGCCTCTGTAATTAATTACAGCTGACCCTTGTACAATGTGGGGGTTAGAGGTGCCAACCTCCCACATCCTTATAGTTGAAAATCCACATATAACTCAACTCCCCCAAACTTAACTACTGTACTTGATCTTAATACACCAAGCATGGTCCTGCCTCAAGACCTCTGTTCTGGCTGTTCCCTCCACCTGTAAAATTCCTGTCTGGAATATGGGAATGGGGTTACTACCATACCTCCTTATCTTTGCTCAGCTGTCGCTTCGCAGTGATGTCCTTTCTGATCACACCAAATGCCACTTAACACACTACATGTTTTACAATACTTTTCTTGTGTCCCTTTATGCTATATAAGCACCAGGAAAGCAGCAATTTCTATACACTACTATGAACCAGAACCTCTGATAATGCTTGGGACATAGCAAACATGTGCTGAATGAATGAATGAACACTGTATCATTAAATAGCCTAGAATTTAAGGGAAAGGAGACAGCGTCTGTTCCAACTTCCTTATTTTGTAGGTGAGAAAACGAAAGTCCTAAAAGGAAAAATTACTTTTTTCAGGTTATCTCCTAATGCTTAGTCCAGCTCTTTCTCTCTTTTATCAGGCACTTGTAAATCTTTGACTTCAACCCATGAGAAATATTTTACATCAGTACTGCCACTTGAACATTTCACAGAATACAGGGTGGGCAAAAGTAGGCTTACTGCTTCAAACACACAAAACACAGAGTTTATTCTTGTGTTATTATTAATTATTGTACAATTTTCCATACAAACATGCTGGTCACAAAGCAACCAAATTGCATTTCATAATCCACCAAGTTGCTGTAAAATTTGAAACACAGTACTAATTAGATGCAATTTAACCAATAATGGTAGAGGAAAAAGTGTGTTTTTCTGCATTATGGGTACAGGTATTTTTATGGGCTCGTCAATTCAGTGCAAGATTAAAGCAGCGCACTACCTAATAGCTGACAGCTGAGGACCATGCATGTGCAGCCTCACAACTAAAAGGATGTAAGCACAACTAAAATATACTATATGTACATATATATACTCCTTGTCTCATTTATGAATTTATAAGACATGGCTGCACAGTTATTCTCTTAAGTCAAGCAAATCATAAAACAAGTAATGTAAAAACCTAGAAATTACTTTTAAAAATATTCTACATAAAAATCATGACATTTAAAATTATATCTTATTCCACTCACCCCACAAGGAAGTTCCTTAGCAATGAACACTGATTTAAATATTTTTTTATTTATATGCAAATTGATCATGAACATCAATTTGCATAGTCCATATTATATATTTTTTGTTTAGCAATAGCCCTGGCTGGTGTGGCTCAGTGGACTGAGACTGAGCCTCACCCCGAGACCTGAAAGGTCACCAAACTGATTCCCAGTCAGAGCACATGCTTATAGGTTGTGGGCCAGGTACCCTGTGGCGGGGGCGTGCAAGAGGCAACAAACTAATGTTTCTCTCCTTCCTTCTCCCTCCCCACCCCCTCTAAAAATAAATAAATGAAATCTCTAAAGCAGAGGGTTTCTGATATCCAACTCCCCAAGTCTCACTGGTTCTACATTCAAAACTTCCTTTCATATTTCTCCTCACGATTCCCACTGCAAGTGCCTTGAAGCAAGGCTTCATTATTTACCTCTTGCATTCCAACTGGTCCTGAGCCCCTCGGATCCAGTGATGTGGCTGATGAGTTAGTATCAGGTGTAAGGAATCACCAATAAATTTGTTACTAATTAGGACTTAGTTTTAAAAAAGAGAGAGATAAAAACTCAAGGACACAGACACCAGTGCCCTGTTGCAGGGGTGGAGGTAGAAGAGGGTATGGGGGGGGTGAATAGTGATGGGAAAATTTCTTTTTTAACTTTGAAAAGACTAAGTTGGATGCTTTAATATTAAAAAGTTATAGTTAAAAGTTGCTCACTCCACTGCTCTAAATGCAAAGAAGTCTAACGAGAGAACAGCCAAGTTTGACAGAAGAGCCTAGTTCATTATCCCGTAATATCAAAACCCAGATGGGGCTGTTTCTTAAGGTTAAGAGTCTAATAAAGCTATTCAATGTCCCCATGCCTTTGATATATGCAGGCTAGAGCACCTGATACTATATATTCTTAGTGAAACTACTTGGATCAGTGTTCATTTTAAAGTTTTATAGGCAGATGCCATGCATTTTAAAGACACAGGAAGGCCAAAGTTGCTTAGCAAACCCGGTAATCATATAAGGGTGCATTAATTTTAGAGAATGGGGATTGTTTAAAAATCCCGGCACCCAGGTGTCCCAACTACTTAAGGGCCCATGATCCCTTGAGTAAAACAATGGCTAAAAGCTGCTTGAAGTGGGTTTTTTTTTTGAAACCAGGCACAATGTAACCAAGAGACTGGTTAAAAACAAAGCAAAACACAAAACAGTGCAAATAAGTCTTCTAAGAAAAAAGAGCACTCTGGGGCCCTCCTAAGTGCTCTCCCCCACCCAAATTATAAGTTTGGGAGGGGTGAAGGAGATAGAAGAGAGGGGAGAGAAACTGTTCACTAAGCAGGAATTGCCGACAGATCGGTTTCAGCCACACTGCCACCAAGAGGCATCAGTCCCTAGGGCGTGCACGCAAACACAAAGCCCCATCAGTGGGACTGCCGTGAGCTGAGAAACACTGAAATCTTCAGTTTCCCTGGCTTTAAAGAAGTTTTTACCAGCCTGACCAGAGGAGGAAACCAAGGCACCCCAGGATTCTACTCAAGAAAGGGTGAGTCATGGAGAAGAACTGGGATTCTAAGACTGTGGTCGTTAGACACATTTCTTTGGTTTTCACCTTCTGAGAATGCATAGAGTAGGACACCTGTTTTCAATATCAAGGTCATTTAATAAATGGACAAACCTATTCTGATTGGGTCCAGAATACTTCTGTGTGTTTTGCGCGTGCGCACGTGTGTGTGTACATATGTATATAAAATAGGTACTGACGTTGATGTTTTACTACAATATAAAAGTTATACTTCCTGTCAGTCCAAGATTTCAAAAACTATAGTTTTTCCTTGAAAACTCATACTTTATTATATGGCAAAAATGTTATCGGTGGCTTTCCTTGAACCAACTGGCCCACTTCCTTCATTTTTTGAGAAAAATGTCTGCCAAATAGTCAAGTCTGAATATGAATAGTCAATCTATCAATTGTTCTTTCAAGTAAGAATGGTTCTCATAAAAACAGAGGCCAGTTCAGCTTGAAATGACACCACCACAGAACTACTCTGGTATGTAGGAGTACTTTATTCACATTCCCTACTGTGTTACACAGAAAGATGCTAGCTTTTGAAAATTTTAGTAAAATTAATCAGATGTTTCTGCTTTGAAAACATTTGTAAGTAAAACTGGTGTTTCGAACTGCAAGTGTCAACAACTACCAGTACAATTTGATGGCAGTGCCTGGTGCATGGCAGGGCACCAGCAGTCTTACCCATCGCTGCTTCTGAACCATTAGTATAAATGCCAACAGTGAAAAAGCAAAGGTCTTAGTATTCTTGTGACAATTACTATATATGTGTGCACACATACATCTTTCTCCTACGTAAACAATATTTCAGCTACCTATCGTATATTTTGGAAGGAATAGGAAAACATGTTGAGTTGGAGTAACCTACTCACAAACTACTAAATAGTGTTAATAATACTCTGCAGTGTAACTGAACCACTGTCTTTTCTAGTTAATGTAAATTAGAGGAAGTAGTATTGTTAAGAAGAAAAGAAAAACCCTTTAACCTCTGAGGCAACTGAAAGGGTCTTTGGAATTTCCCGGGGTCCATGACCCACATGGCTGTAACTACACTAATACAGTTACAGAAACACAGTTTTGAGAACATGAGAAGGCAACTTCCCTTAGCCTTGTAATCTATCAGTAAGAATAAAAGAATGCATTTTAACAAGGAAAAGAGGGATAAGAAAAGGTGTAAAAATTATGAAAATAGGCGAATAAAAACATAAAATGGAAATAAACCACATTATACTTTTAAGTGTTCTACTTCTGCCCTGATTTTACAAGGAAGCAGGTTAAGTAATATAACAAGTTTATGCAGAATCAATATCTGACACCCAAGCCGGAGTTTCTTAATGAATCAATGGCTTAATTCTGTAACAGTTTTTTTAGATAACCTAAGATATTACTCATTACATGTAGGAGCTAGAAAGGAAAACATTCACCCACTTAAGTACTGAAGGTTCAGTCCTCCCATGTGACAGTCTCTCTCTCTCTCAAACAGAAAAGGAAAAAGCGAACTGCTTCCTGGTGGACACGTGCCGCTGACACAGTGCTTGATGATGTACTGTCTAAAACTACTAGACAATGTAGTTCTATTAAAGAATTTAAAAATATATTTCATATTTTTATATCCATACACAAACACAGTATTATTGAAAGTACAATTAAAATTAAACCTTACTGACATCTTTTTTGCAGGCTAGGCTGCTGGGTTGGCTTCATAACTCAATATAACCAATGACCTTACAAATTCTGAATATTAACTCTGGCAAAACATAATGGGGCCAAAGGGTGGCTTAAAGGAAGCACGAGTTATGCATGTGAGTATGTCACCCAGACCAGAGGTCCAGCGCCGGTCTGTTTCAACTGTTCCTGATTTAATAATACAGAGAGACTGGAAATCTCTCTGAGGTCCTGATGAACACATACGTGAATAAATACTGTTATAATTACCAGGAAAACAATGCAAAGGCCCCATGTTCAAACAATTTTCAACCTAAGATTAAATGTCACTGTGAAAGGCTACTTAGTTCTTTTAAAGTACACTGTGTTTCATAATTTAATCCAAAATAAGCTGTGCATGCCCAGGTAAAGGGCTTAAAAAAAAATCTCTGTTCTTTTCTCTAATTATTATTAAAGTAAAAATGAAATTCCCTAACTCCTCATTTACTTGACTCTATCAGGATAAAATAATGACATCTAGCTTTCTAGGATGAACATCCTAAAACTGACTAAAGCACTGTAAGATATAGAAAAATTAGACATCTTCAATTAAGAACAATGCCACTGACACAACCTGATTTGCAGTCCCATGATGCTTATCATAAAGACTTCCAGACCATTCTACGGAATCGATTTAAATAACACAGAGCTAGAAGAATCTTTAGAGATTTATTTTTTAAATTAAATTTCATTGATTATGCTATTATAGTTGTCCTGATTTTCCCCCCCTAAGATTAGTTACTTCTCATTTGCATATATGAAAAGCTGTTTCATCTTGGGTAAGTCAATTTTTCACACCCCAGCATTTTTCCCCTATTTCCAAGGGGATTAAACAGAGGGTTTTGTTTTTTTTTACCATCCTTCCTAGTTCTAATGTTTATCTAAAACAGATAAGCCAGGTTTTATATTGAGCAGTTTATGCAACCACTTATAAAGGTAAAGTCAAGTCAAACTGCGAAGGAGGGGATTTACCAGGCTGAGTGCCCATCTTGTGCCAGGCCCTGCACACCAGTATCTCTGTTCAATATTCTAAGGAACCTGCACAGGCTCTTTCTGACAGGAGGGATTCCCAAAGCTATTTATGTGTAGATGAGACAAAACCTCTCCATTCCTGTTTTTAATGTAAAGGGTAACCAGAAGGGCCTTTGCATGTACGAATAACAACAAAGTTGATGATCTATCCAAACTGGTAAGTTAGTGCAGTCAAGCAAACACTTGAAATAAATGTGCCCTACCATTAAGAAAACTTGATGCATAGATCTCAAATTCAGAGTAACAGAAATGTTATAGAACCTAGAAAGAGGCCTTAGAAATCATATAGTACAACTTCCCACTGTACAGATGAAGCAATTAAAATCAAAGGGTTTGTTCATTTTCCACTGAAAATAGTGGCCAGAGTAGTGCAGTCTCTCTTAACTTTTAGGCATTTGCTAGCGATGTAATTACAAGAGGGAACCCAATTATTTGCATAACAAGGCATCTTTACGACACCTATATGGCTAACGAGTTTTTTAAAAAATGATTTAATTTGCTAAGATTACTGGTAAATCAGTCAGTAATGTGGAAAGCAAACTTTGCCTAATCTGGGTATCACGGATTAAAAGAAATATTTTTAATGTCAGAACAGTGGTGTGCAGCAAATGTTTGTTGAATGAATGTGCCAACAACCCAAGTAAAGTAACGCCATCGTTGGCAAGAGTCCATATATCTTGAAATCAAGACGCTGTGAATAGAACTGTGTATGTATTACCGTAATACTCTTTAAAAAGGTCGATTTAAAAACAAACTATAGCTTAAGGGGATGTGACTTTATATGATCATATAGACAAAAAAGAAATTATGCCTCAGCACAATTCACCATAGCCATTTTTGATAACTTTATTATCCTACAGATAACTCTTAAACTTAAAACTGTGACGATTCTCCAAATAATTTGGAACAAACCTAAAAAGAAGCCTCGACTGGCTCAATAAAATATCTGTACCACTCAGACTGGCAATCTAAGACTTCGGTTCAGTCTTAATCCTTTACAGATAATACCGTCAAAGCTTTGAACCTCTCCCTACCCCCATACTTTTCTCTTTTAAGCAAAGGAAAAGCAATTGGTGCAGCAGAGAGTGGGCTTTCATGAACAGAATCTGACCTCAAAGGCACTGCCGCTTTGCAATGTACCTCGTAACCTGGAGAACCTCGCGAATTAAATTTTCCAAGAGCTAGAACCCTACAGTTACCATGGGAGAGAGAATACCAAAACCCATCGGGTGCCAGGACTCACCCCGGCAGACCAGGGCCCAGAAATCGGAGGCTGGAGTAGGCGATATGGCCCCAGCGACTTGAGGAGACCCCGTAGCCTGCACGGCAAGAAGCGAAGGAGGCGGCCCCGGCGCCCATTTTGTCCTCCGCCTCCGCACTTCCCAGCCGGTTCTCCCTTTACCTTCCCAGTAGCCTACGTGAGGCCTGCAGCTACACTCCACTTGTGGGCCTGTATCCCGGACACATTCTAGGAAAATCCGCTCGAGGCCTGGGTAAGCCTTGGCCCTGGGGACCCCCATTGACCCCAGCCCCGCCCGCCACGCCTCAGGCCCAGGGATCAGGCCTCAGTCTTGCTCCACCTCCGCAGGCCCAAAACCTCACTGTCTTATCCGGCTTCGTTCTCCCACCCCTGCCCTCCAGGGCCGCATCCCCACATCCTGCGTACCAGAGCCCCTCTCCCCACTCTCGCCTTTATCTCAGATCACGGCCCTCAGCCTCCACTCAGCCCCTCGGTCCCAGTCCACACGCCCCGCCTGGACCGTACCCTCCGGCAAACAGATGCACCAGCGTGTCCCTCTGGCTCATCCTCTCTCCCGCATGTCCTCCGGGCACTGAGGCAGGTGGCTTCAGCGGGCCGGGACTAGAGCTGCACAGCACCCCAGGCAAGGACAGTGAAGGAAGCTGGTGGAGTCGCGGCTGCAGAAAGTGACCGGCGCGGCCCTCCCAGCAGCGTGGAGCCGCGCCGCCCGAGCTGAGCGTTCTCGACTAGACCTAGGCAGTGGCGCGGAGGTGACGGGAGGGCGGGCTGGGTGCGGAGGAGTGAGTGTGCTGGAGGCCCTCCCCTCACCTCCCCCCTCCGCGATATAAACAGAAGCTCCCGTTGGTCTGCGCCGCTGACGTCTCGATTCTGGCATGCGCGTTTCACGTGATCGCTAAGAGGGTGGTTTTTTTTTTTTTTTTCAATGAAGGGGGCTAGTAGGTGGGGCCAGAGCGCGAGCTGTGAGTGTAATGGGTCATTGCGCCCTCGCACCTAAACTGCCTTGGCAGCACCAAAGCCGGTGCACCATGCTCCCCCTCCTCTACGTGAGAAAACTGCCTGAATTTCTGGTACGCCAGCAGAGTGGGGGCGCGAGCCTGCCAAGTCTCTGATTTACTGTTTTTTTAGAGATAGTTTTTAGAGCTAAGCTAGTTTACGACAAAATCGAGATTTCCCATTGACTCCTTTTTAATTGACTTTTTAAAAATGGGATTTATGACCCACATTTCTGCTTCTTTATCAAGAAGTAACAGTGCATGGAGAGGCTTGTACTAGGATACTCGTGCAAGATCACAAACAGTACACAAACAATACTTCTAATAGTGGAAAATTGGCATCAACGGAGAAATTAAATCATGAAACATTAGTATCGTGAATATTATGCAAGTGTGACGGGGGGGGGGGTAGATCTGTGTGGGGAAAAATCTCCAAGCCTACTAACTAAAACAGGAAAATAAAACACTAAGGTTTATTTTAGAAAGAATAAAGACATTTACTCATTCTTTTCATCAGCAAATGTTTCATACACACACACACACACACACACACACACACACAAGAAGATCAAAGATGAGAGGAAAGAAAATGTTTTATTACTCCAAAAAATTGTGATTAAATATTTAAAATGTTAATTAGTAATTGTTTCAACAGTGCAGAACAGTACAGAGTAATATAACATAATCTGTACTCATCACCCACACGGCACAAATGTTAATATTTTTCCCTTCTTTGGTAACCCATTCTACCTGCAAGGTCCTCACCATCCTTTCCTACTCATTTGTGGTGACCCAGGGCTCACATTCCTTTCCTTCCTAGGCCATTTCTTTCATGAAGTCCGCCCTGGTTGCCTCAGCTCTGTATGCTCTTTGCCTCTCTTAAATTCCTGCAAAATATACAGACTACAAGCCACTGGCAAGTGTTCATCCACTCCACAGTAAATGATCTGTAAAAGAGGCGTGAGAGTACCCATCTCCTAAGGTAGTTGCAAGGACTATGTCAAAATATGTAAAGCACCTACAGGAGTGTTATATAAGGCCTACATAGAATAACTAGTAGTAGTTTGCCACCTTGCATTCTTAATAACAAAAATGATAGCTGATATTTCTTGAGCACTTACTGATGTGCTCGGCTCTGATCTAAGCACTTAACAGCATCTTCTGATTAAACTCTCACAACCACCCTGTGAGGTATGTGATTGTTTTCCCCCATTTTTTCATGAGGAGATTCAAGTGTAAAATAATTAAGTGACTTGCCCAATATTATCCAGGTCATCCAGAAGGAGATTGGTTATGAATCCAGCAGAGTCTGTCTGATTCCAGGGCTTCAGTTGGTGAAGTAATAGCTGCCTCTTAAAGGGGAAATTTGAAAAAAACCAAAAAGTGGAAATAAAACTTGTCACCCCTGTCATATTTGCCCAAAACCATTACATTAACATTTAGTGGGTATTCCTTGCTTTTTGGAGCAGCTTAATTTGAGGTATCGTTCGTATGCCATACAACTCACCTATTTAAAGTGTACAGTTTAGTGGGTTTTACTAGATTCTCCTGGTTGTACCACCATCACCACATCTTAGTTCCAGATCATCTACCTCACCAAATAGGAAACTCCACACTTGTTAGCAGCCACTCCCATCCTCCCCTCCACCACCGCCTGACAACCACTAATCTACCTTCTATTTCTCCGGATTTGCATAATCTGGACTTTTTATACCAATGGAATCATAAGATGCGTAGCCTTTTGTGTCTGGCTTTGTTTAAAACTAAGCATAATGTTTTCAAGGTTCATTCGTGTTGTAGCATGTGTTGGTACTTCATTACCTTTTATGACTGAATCATTTTCCATTGTATAGCTAGATATGCCACATTTTGTTTATCCATTCTCAATCGATGGCCATTTGGATTATTTCCATTTTGGGGTTATCATGAATAATGATACCAAGAACATTTATGGACAAGTTTTAGCCCAGACATATGTTTTCAATTCTCTTGAATATACCTGGGAGTGGAATGGCTAAGTCATAAGATAATGTTTAACCCCTTGAGTAACTACCACACTGTTTTCCAAAGTGACCGCACTATTTTAGATGTATTTTTTTAAGACAATAGCTTTCTGACATAGTGAATGCCATAGTTATCACATTTAATGAAGCTTCTGAAACTGGTAAGGAGGGAGCCAGAGGTCTCACATGCAGTACCGGTTATTCCCATAGTAAGCAATAACAATGATAATGTGACCGTTTCCCTTTGAACCTCTTTCAGATGCCACCATGGAAGGAGTCTCTGCCCCAGGTGGAGTCAAAGAGCAGTTGCTCCCACGTGCATGTTTGGTATCTCGTGGAGCCACTGTAATGGCCATTAGTAGGGGAAACATACAGACAGCCGTTAAGCATCTGCAGTTCCTGAGACTGGGTAATAAATAAACCTCCGGGAACAGTTGGGTTAAAATTCCTAGCCAAATAAGGTAACTAACCAGGGCCCGCCAGAAGAGGCCCGCCAGCAGCAACACCCACCAATTAGGGACCTTCGCCGTTTTCAACTTAGCAACCTAGCTAATAGCTAACTGCCACATCTGCTTTTGTAAGCCCGCATTTGCTTGCTCTGCCCTATAAAAACCCCGTAGCCTGTAAGCCACGTACGGCTTCCATATTGTAGGTCTGGTAGGGGAAGACCGCCCCTGCGCAGGTAAAAACTTTTGGCCAATAAATAACATCTGAGCTCTAAGTGCCTGGACGTCTGATTTCTCTCTCTCTTTGAATACAACACCACCACTCCCATCAGCTGCTCTGTGTCACAGTTTTAGTTTATGATGGTTAAAGGTTCTTCTCAAACACAGGTGACAAGCAGAGATAGCACTGGAAATAGATAATGAATTTATAGAAATAGATTTTTCACCACAACGAACTAGCAGTTTGCTTGTGAAAAAACACTGCCTCTCAGGGACCACCAACTCCCGAGTGCGTCCCAGCGGGCTTGGGAAAAAAACTATCCAACTTTCTAGGACAAGCGTATTAAAGTGGTGGGGAGACCTTAGAAAGAAGTGCATAGATTTTGTTGAGATAAAAGTGTGACACATGTTTTAATTTTATCTGGATAATGCCTGGGACGTCCACAGTTTCTGCTAACACGTAAGTAGTACCCTGTCTCCCATTTAAGAACCTATGCAAGGGCCTACCAAAAGTCCCTGCTTTGAAACCAAATTTGTTGGCTTTGGGCTCTTGCTTTTAGTATTAATTCTTTGTTTTTATTACAAAATAATAAAGACAAACAAATAACCCAATTCATAAGCTGGGCAAAAGACTTCAATAGATATTTCTCCAAAGATTTACAAATGACCAATAAGTACACGAAAAGATGATCAACATCACTACTCATTGGCAAAATGCAAATCAAAACCAGAATGAGATACTACTTCACACCATTAGGATGGCTATTATAAAAATAAGACAAAACAAACAAAAACAGAAAATACCTAGTGTTGGCCAGGATGTGGAGAAATTGGAACCCTGAGAGTTGCTGGTGGGAATGTAAAATGGTGCAGCTCTGTGGAAAATGGCAATTTCTCAAAAACTTAAACAGAACTGCCATATGATACAGCAATTCCACATCTGGCTACGTCCTCCAAAGAATTGAAAACAGACACTCAGACAGATAGGTTCACACCAATGTTCAGTGCAGCACTATGCTCAATAGCTGAAAGGCGGAAACAACCTATGTGTCCATCATCAGGTGAATGGATAAACAAACTACGGTATGAATGATACATACAATGTTGAATATTCAGCCTTAAAACAGAGGGAAATTCTGACACATGCTACAACAGAGATGAACCTTGAAGACATGATGTAAGGTGAAATAAGGCATCACCAAAGGACAAATATTGTATGATTCCACTTAAATGAAATACCTAGACTAGTCAAATTTATAAAGAAAGAAAATAAAATAGTGGTTGCCAGGGCTGGGGGAAGGTGGAATAGGAGAGCTAGCATTGGTGGGTATGAAGTTTCAGTTTGGGATGATGGAAATGTTCTGAAGATGTTGGTGGTGATGGTGGCACAATAATGTGAACGTGCTCAGGGCCACTGAATTGTACGCTCGGAAATGGCTAAAGTGGTAAACTTTATGTCCTGGATACTTTACCACAATAAAAAAGTGAAAACACTGTGCCTGGTTGTCAAAAAGTAAATATGGAGTATTAGAAAAGTTATAATGCGAACTCTCAGACTCCCTACTTCATTCTTTCTGTTTCCTCATTTTTGCTCCTTTCAACTTTTCACTTTTTCTTTAGTTTCATATTTCTCAGTAATAGCAGTTCATGCTGTTTTCCTTGATTTATCAATTTCAGACATCACCTATTACACTTCTGATCACAATGGATGCAGAGTTAGCTTTTTACCCTACTCCTCTGTTCCTATTTTCCATTTAATCTTCCCAATAGTCACATCACAATTTTTTACTTAAATTGATAATTTTTTGGTCTTATTATGACTATGTAAATTTTGTCCCCTGAAAAGCCACATGGTGTACATATTTTTCTTGTACAAATTTTTACTTTTCTTGGTTAAGAATTGCACATTTTCCCCATTTCCTTAATTTTCTATACCTATCTTTAATTTTTCTACATAGTACATCATATCTGACCATGACCCAAAAATATAAGTTTCATAATGTTTAACTTTCAGCCTATCAACCCCCTTTTCCCCCTCCCTCTAAAGAAGTCCCTGCTGTCTTCTTCCATCGTCTGGTTTCGACCTGCACAGGTATCATCCTGGGATTTACATCTCTGCC